GGTCCTTATCTTCCATTTTCCGGTGCATTTGCATTGGTTTTTAATAATTGTGTCGCCCAGCCTCGCTGAACTTCATCTATCTCCAGTTTTCCAATTTCCCAATGATGTGTACAACAGCGTGCTTCTTTTTGTTAATAGAGTCATCACTTAATGCACTTAAGACTCACGTTCTTCCTAAAGATGCACTTTCATGGAAAGTAAATGGATTTTGCATCTCACAGAGACTGAGCTCGGAAATATTGTCCTTCCTCATTACTAATTCGAGGTTACAAATTAGTACTGTAAATTTCAGCTGGTTCTTCAACACCTGAACATTAGCCAGCTAATATTGAGTGGCTGGTGTCTGTCTGATGCTTAAGCAATGAGTCTGTCACTGCGGTGGCAGCTGTGCCTTTGCTGTTGTTCTTGCTTAAATTGTCTTTACCTTTCGGAAGGCTCTTGGTGCTGAGGCCAGCTTTGCAGAAGGTGGTGGGTCTGGCTGCAGATAATACCAGAGATGGATGCGCATATATTTTAAGGAAATAGAGTTACTGACATAATGAGAAGTGAATCGCTTGGGCTCAAGAACAGGATCATTTTATCCAAGGCCTTGCTTGACTCCCACCCTGTGGTCACTCTGGGGAGGAAAGGCCCAGATGCCTGAGCGAATGCAGACTTTGACTGGGGACCATTCCACAGACAGCAACTGGATTCCTTCTGTGTGTCTCTTTGTCTGCTTTCAGAGTCTATGCAGCGACCATTGGACAGTTCCTCTCACCATTACAAACACTGTGAACCACAAAGGTGGCATGGAGGTGTTGGAATTGTGATGCGGTGCTTGGTGTGTGTGTGTGTGTGTGTGTGTGTGTGTGTGTAGCTTGAAATCAAGAGGTAAAATTGAAAGACCAGAAGCACAGTGTGCTTAACTGAATTCTGAAGCACAAAAGACTTTGCCCAGAGTGGGGTGCGTTGCAGTGAAAAACACACATTCTCCAGGACTGGATCCATGGTCCTCACTTCCCAGGCATGGAAAGGAGGCTCAGCCCCACTCCTGCATGAACTGGCTTCCTGCACACAGAAACACAAGGGCCCCGGCTGCTGCAGTGTCACTGCCGGGTTTATGGGCACACTTCTCACATCCCGTTCTGCCATTAAGAGTAAAATGAGGCACACTTCATATGTCTCTCCCAGACTGCAAGACCCATTTCCTTCTAATCAGCCTCAGCTCTGCCTGGGCCTTCTTTGCTCTAGAAAGATTGAATCTCTAGTGGTTCCCATTATGGATTTTCGGTTTTGCACCTTACTTTTTTCCCCTTCTCTGCCACTTTGAACAAAAATAAAGTTGTCGCCTGCTTCTGCAGATGTACCCACATACATACGAATAATTTCTCTATGGCGGAGCCAGGAACATACACTCTATGCAAATAGAGAAGGACAGTTTTGACCTACTTCCCTGCAGCCCACAGGAAACAGAACTCTGGGTTAGCTGGTTACATACTGCAGACAAAGCAAGCCACAGCACGCTTGGCCTCAAAGTAACAGGGCCATCCTGGAGCGATTTCCTCTTCCCTACCCTACCTTCAACTTGCCAAATCCAGAATTCAAGGCGAAGCAATCCTGGCAGTAGCCTACACAGTCAAGGGAGTGGGCTGGAAAGCGCAGTAGCCAGGGTCCTTGTTTCCAGGCCGGGTTCTCCGACATGGGTGTACAATGTAAGGGTGCCGGGTGAAGTCACATTAAGATCGGGAACAGCAGGGAGACCACAGGGACAAGGCTAGGCCCTGTTCCCAGACAGGCGCCCTTGTGTTGGTGCCATCAGCAGCCCATGCAGTTCAGGATGGAGTAGAGGCATTGGGGTAAGGAATGATGACTTGGGAGGGAGGACATAGAGAAGGAAAGGCAGGGCTCAGCCAGCAGCTGGCCATCTGTGACCCCAACTACGATCCTGTCCTGACCTTTGCTCTTGTGCAAGGCATGCCTGGCCCCAAAGTAAATCCCTACTATAGAGGCCAGAAGGAGATCAAACCTAATGCATTTTCAGAAGCTGGAATTAAACCGAGGCTGAAGGGAAAGCTTAACCCAGGTCAGTGGGCCTCTCGTGGTGCTTCAGGAGACCCTGCCTCTGAATCTTCTCATGGTGTCAAGACCTGGGGTCAGGCTGCATGAGGCTGTGGTGTCCCTTCTATGGTCCCCAAGTGCTATGTGTTATGACCTTCAGCTTAGCAGTAGCTCTAAACTGTTTCTGGAACATCTGAGTCCAGGTATGAAAACGTATAGCTGTTTTAGGGAGGCTTGGGCACATTTGTTGATGAGAAGAGCCTAAAAATGCAGACAAACTTCTTGATTCAGGACTTGTACTGGACCAAAATTTGTTTTTATTCTGTCCATGGAAAGAAAGAAGGAGAGATTTGAACAGGAGATTAATAGGGTACGTAAGAGAACACAGGCTTCCTGTTCTTTTTTAAACACTTTAATGATGTCCACAGATCCACAGAAAGGAGGGCTGGTGGGACCTCAGGGATCCTCACAGCCAACCCAGCTCATTTTACGCATGAGCAAACCAAGGCCTTTGGGTTTGGCTGTGGACCTAATTAGCTATTATGTCTGGCCAGGAGCCGGCAGTCCAGGCTCGCAGACTGATCTCCTCTCTGCTGGAGCCCACATGCATTCACTGAAAGCATTCAGCACGCTGAATTAGCGTTGATAATTGGTCAAACATTTAATACCAATGTGTGGTCCTTATCTATTCAGACTTAGCATCGTTTAGAAAGCTGTCTGTCTAGCAGCTCCTGCAGCCTGTGGGGGAGGAGTTTTCAACATGGAAAGGGGGTATGAAGAGCCAGCTTACCCCTCAGTTTCTGTGCCAGTCATGGTATTTATTTCTAGATGGGGCATGCGAGACATCCTGTGAAAGGGGTAAACGACCTGCTGTATCGCCATCAGGAAGAGACATAATGAAGTTATAGTGAGCGACGACATTTTTGTGGAACACGAGGCCCTGACTTGGCCTTGAAGAATGGACGTGATTTTGGTAGGGAAAGAGGAGGGTCGTTGTTTCATGTGAAAGTGCTGGATGGGATGATATAATAATTTGAGACAGCTCCCCAACTGTCGACTTCTAATCCTTGATATTTATAAATGCTGATTTGGAAATAGACCTTGAAAAATGTGATTAAAGAATTTTGAGACGGGGAGATTATCTTGGACTATCTGGGTGGTTCTCAAATGCAAAAATTCATATAAGTAAGAGGCATGAGGGCAATTACCGACAGAAAAATCACAGAAGCCAGAGATCAGAGTGATGAAGCCACAAGGCAAGGAGTGCTGGCAGCCACCAGAAACAAGAGGCAGAGAATGGATTCCTCCTTCTGCCTGTAGAGGGCGCACAGCTCCTCAGACGCCTCAGTTTTGATCTAATAATGCTGATTTCAAAAGAGTTAATTTCTGTTGTTCCAAGACACCAGCTTTGTGGCAATTTGCTACCCCTGGCCTAGGATAGTAATACAAAGAAGAAAAGATAAAACCTATCTGGGGAAAGTAGATCAAGATACTTACCAGGAGAGCAGTCAGATATTTAGAGAGAATAAATAAATGAGTTGAGGTCAAGTGATATATTAGTCTGAAGAGTGACAGCAAGTTTCTGCCCGTTTCTTCCAGCACTGATTAGAATACAGATCTGAGGAGGAGCCTCATGGTGCCGATGGGATCATCTTTATTTCCTAGTGACATTTCATACCAAGCTCCTGGTTATATGTAATAGTCGGTGCCTGCCGAATGCCACGGGGAGTGCTGGCAGCTGCTGTACCTGGTGAACTGGAAAGATGTTAAGGCTGCCTAGGGCTGGTGTGCTCAGACGTGCTGGAGGGAGCTCTCATCTTCAACTGTGGCCTCAGTTCCCGGTGCTGGGTCTTTCCGGGGTGTGAGGGGGTAAGAAATGCTCTGATGCCACAGAGTCCCTGGAGGAAGGGACGCAGGTGAATTCAGAGCATCTCTGGTGGGGGGTGAGAGTCTGGGACATCACCTGCCCTGTGCAACGGGCTTATTGATAGCAGAGTCTAGTTCTCTGCCAGACTCAGAAAAAGCATTAAAGAGGACTTTTGAGCTTTCATGACACTCTTACTGATCTGAGGTTGTTTGGAGCCATAAAACAACTGTAAATTAGAGGAATGAAATAAAAGACAGCAGGATCCTTAAACTCCTATCATCTTTGGAGGTTGAAAAAGCTTTCTGCACAGTTTCTGTAGCAGCAGGACCTGAAATATGTCTTCGGATGGGGAGTCTCATTCTCCGCTCCTGCTGGGGGCCCGAGAGAGTCCTCTCCACCGCATAGCACTGCACAGAAAGTGTCCTTGGCCGCAGGACCTGCTGGGCCTCAGGCTAAACTGGGCCTGCTCCCTTTTTCTTTGTTTTGCTCCTCTTTTCCCTTCGTTTCTCTTCCCTCTTCTCTCCTCCTTCTCTTCTTCTGTCCTCCTTTTGTTTTTTATTTTGTGGCATTGGGAGCCATTCCTTAGCCATTTTACTTCTTTATTTTTGAGGCGGGGTCTTACTAAATTGCTAAATTTCCTGGGCTAGGCTTGAATTCACAGTCCTCCTGCCTCAGCCTCACAAAGTGCCAGGATTGCAAGCATGTACCACCATGTGAGTTCATGTTTCCGTTTTGTTCTTTCTTTTCTCTGATCAGGATTTTGTCTTGCTCTGCAGTGGTTGGGATTGAACTCATGTCCCTGTACTTACTAGGCTATCACTCATCACTCTCCTGCTGCTGAGCTACATCCCCAACCCTTAAAAACAACTTTTATTTTGAGGTAGTCTTGCTGACTTCCCCAGCCTGGCCTCAAACTCATAATCCTTGTTGCTCAGGCTTCTAAGCAGCTGAGATTTCAGGGTGCACCACCATGCCTGGCTTGAAGAATGTTAATATTAACATATTTGTAAAGCAGTGGAGTTAAGAGATAATCACCAATCATTCCACTATGATGGAGCCATCCATGTGACCACTGGACTTTGCCTTTTCCTTGTAGAAATCCGAGAGGCCTTTCGAGTTCTGGACCGGGATGGGAACGGCTTCATCTCCAAGCAGGAGCTGGGCATGGCCATGCGCTCCCTGGGGTACATGCCGAGTGAGGTGGAGCTGGCCATCATCATGCAGCGCCTGGACATGGACGGTAAGAGCCTGTGGGCTGTGCCTCTGCGGGGCCAGTGCCCTTCTTCCCTGAGACCTTGAGTGTCCTTGAGCCTTGCATCAAAATTCACGGGCCACGTCTCAGTTTGCATGTGAGGTGCAGAAACTTGGACTGCGTCAGAGTTTTACCAAGCACATCCCGTGGAGCTCTAGGAGTTGCAGAGGTGGTTCGGGCTGTTGGGGGAGAGGAGCAAAGGAGGTCTGGCTGGGGAGCAGTTAAAGTCCTTCTTTTCCTTCCTTTTTTAAAAAGCACTTTATCGAAATAGAATTCACATACCATAAAATTCACCCATTTAAAGTATACAACTCAGTGGCTTTTATTAGCATCACAGGTTTGTGTGACTAATGGTGCAGTCGGTTTTGGAACATTTCCATCAGTCAGATAGAAGGAAGCCCTGCACCTCTAAGTGTTAATTCCCATTCACTGTGTCTCCCTTCAATCACTCTGTTCCCCCCAGCCCCAGCTGACCGTGAATCCCCTTTTGTCTCCACAGAGCTCCTCCCCTGGGCATTTGGTATAAATGGAAATACACCCCATGTGACCCTTTGTGACTGGGTGATATCTCATGAGCTTAGTGTTTTCAGGGCTCGCCCATGTGGTAGTGTGAGCAAATCACCATCCGTGGTGTGGACACAGAGCTCGTCTTCCATCTGTTTTACACACTGCATTTCTCAAAGGCTGTCACTGTTTGTAAGAGGCGGTGATTGGCCTGATGGTGGTCAGGGAAGGCTTCCTGGAGGAAGGGAAACTTGAAAGGGGCTTTGGAAAAGGGGGACCAGTATGTACCCTGGAGCTCTGGCCTTTCACTGAGTTCGCTCTTCTACCAAACTGGGAGAGCAATGCCTGTCTTGATTGTCTCAGAGTTGTTATGGGGATCAGGTGGATACAAATGTGTGGCAAGCTGCATGTTGTGGTTAGACCTGGGTGGGGTCTCCTGGAAGCCTCATGGACTCAGAGGTGAAGCTTCTGGAAGCTGACTGGATGATGGTGCCCTAGAGCTGACTTGCTGCTAGGGAGTGGAGCCTGGGTGGAGAGGCTCTCTGGGGTGTGATCTGGAGGGGCTGTCTCCCTCCCCAGCTGCTCCCTGCTTCCGGGCCACCATGCCTCGCACAAGCTGCTTTCCTCCTCTACAGCTTTCCTCCATACTGTCTGTCCTAGGCTGAGTGACTGTGGGTGTCACGTATTTTGTCCCTGTGACAAGGAAAGTCAGACACCATATTGCCTTAAAAAATATGGGACCTGTTTTTGTTTTGGGCACCACACTGCCATTAGGAGATGCTGCTGTGCTTAGCTTTCTCTAGCAGTGCAAAATTGGTGAATCTATCCTTTGACCTTTCAATTCTTAGAGAAGGTGTTTGTCTTGGTCACTTTTTTTCTCCTTGCTGAGACAAAATACCTGACACCCAGAGTGAAAAGAAGAAAGGCTCATTTTGGCTCATAGTTTGTAGAGGTTTCAGTCTGTAGTTGACTGACTCCAAGGCGGGGTGGTGTAGCAGAAGGGAATCACAGAGGAGAAACAGTCCATGGAGGGCAGTCAGGAGGCTACGCGGTGAAGCAGCTGCAGTGAACCTCCCTTCTTTCCATCTCTTTATATTTCATCCAGGTTACAGGCCTATTGGATGGTGCCACTCGTACCCAGGCTGTGGTTTCCCATCACCTACCCCCATATCAGTGGACTAATCTAATCATCACACCCATAATCCACAGCCACACACCCTAATTCAGCCACCTCCTAAAAGACCCACCTATGAGGACATGAAGTTTTGAGAGGACATCTAGATACAGGCCATAAACAGTGTTTTAAAGTCTCTATTTAAAATAAAATTAAAAAAATAGATAAATAGTGGAAAGTTTCAAAAAAAAAACAATGATCCCATTAGGTTATCTTTTAGATTCTTCTTCCTGTGCTAAAATTCGAAGATCTGTCTCCAATTGCCTGTGAACCTCCTAACACTTACAAGCTACCTTGGCTCAAGGTCCAGGAAAAGGAGCATTCCATTTTGTCAACCTAACACTCCTTCTAAAAAGCCACTTGATTCCAGAGAGAGGGATCCAGAGCAAGGGCTGTTGGTGCTCTCAGGTTGAGCATGACATTGTAGACCAAGCAGCAGGGACCAAAGGCGAGCCCCAGAGTGTCTCCTGGGGGGAAGATGAAGGTCATGGTAGCGACCCGTTTGCTTGGCTCACAGTTACAAAAGCATGGATTTCTCCTGTTATCTCGCTGGACTGGGTGGGAGGATGATAATGTGGTGGACAGACTCCAGTGTCAGCCCCCAAGTGTAGCTGTGAACATTTATTTTCTGGTTGAGGATGGAGATGCTTTATCAGGGTGCTCACTGTATGAGCAGCTCAGCTTGTCCTCAAACTCTGATTGATTCTGAGTCACCAGGCCTGTGACCTTGCCTGGTGTTTCCGAAAAGCTGGCATAAAGTATATATTTCATATAGCAAAACCCCTCTTTCATTGACTTTCATTAGTATTTCAGAGGCACATTTGCAAAAACTGTCACCTCTAAAATAACAAAAATCATCAGCCAGTAGCTCTGTTTGTAGCACTAAGAAGGTTTTGTGCTTTAGATTCTCCTTGTCCAATGCTTATAATAAAACCTAGACAAGTGGACTAAATGACAATAAAATTAATTAGCAGTTTTAACATGAGCTGGGCTACTGTGGGCAAGTTATTCTAAAGTGTAAGGGTCTTTAGCAAAGTCTGTCCTCATTGTTTGTACTTCACAGCAGTGGTCCCCCTTATCCATGGGAAATACGTTCCAAGACCTCACGGATAACTAAAACCACCGATAATGCTGAACCTTAAACATACTGTGCTTTTCCTACTAAGGCTTCCTATATTAAGGCTTAATTTGTTAACTAGACATGGTGAGATATTAACAATAATCACAAATAGTGAAATAATTCTTGAACCATTATTCTGTGATATTTATCTGATTACAGAGATGGCTGCTAAGTGATTAACAGGATGGTAGTATATACAGTGTGGAGACCCTAGATAAAAAGAGTGGTTCATGTCCTGGGCAGGATGGAGTGGGGTGGTATGAGATTTCATTCCACTGCTTAAAATAGTGCACAATGCAAAACTTAGGAATTGTGTATTTCTGGATTTTTCCGTTTTGTATTTTTGGACCGTGGTAACTGAGCCCGTGGGAAGTGAAAGCATGGATAAGCAGTCACTACTATATTTCCGCTAGACTCCAGCTCCTGGAGAATTTTTGTATTGCTGCAAATCCTCACTGAGTCCACATGGGCATGGGACCCCAGGGACCTGTTGTGGCTTTTCAAGGACACCATCAATATTCAGACATGGAAGCTCCTTCTGGGATGCTGTGTAAGAGATTTCAAGTTTCACCGATTTATTTGTCTTACCCAGCTGCGATGCTGAAGGCAGGACTTATAAGCAGATCTCATAAACACTTTCTATTAATTCCTTGAACAAAACCCAAGTCACCAGCTATTTTACAGTGACCCATCAGATAAAAACCACATTTATTTATTTTTAAAGCGTGACTTTAAAATGAAATTTTGTTTCGTTACGTATAAAAGATTTAGTACCAAATATATGAAATTAACACAGCAATGTAGGTAGAAGGAATTGCTTCTACCATTTATTAAATGCCTAAGCTGGAAAAGAGCCAAACAAAAAATGCCCAGTCTGAGGTTGAAATGTGGGTCTTTAAGGGTTTCTTTAACGATACCAGAAGGGACATTTCTGGGGTACCAGACTCTCGAGATGGATGGATTGACTGTTTTACTGTTTCCTTCCCTTAATGGGGGCTTTGAGCTGTTCTGTTTTTAAAAAAAGTAGTATCTAATTATATCCTTCCTTCCTCACTTTGGCAACTGGAGATCCTCCACAGAGATTTGGTCCTATCTAATTAAGTTTCTCTTTGGTGTGGAACGTGGAACGGCAGATATTTTTATGGGCCTATTCCTGAAGAAGAAAGAGAAGACAACACAGAGGCGGGCTGAGGGCCAAGCTTAGGGTTCTTAGTATAAGATGATAAGGTGACTACGTCTCCTGGTCCACAGACTCTGGCGTCTGGGGGTCACAGGGGAGGTGGCCCCACGGTGGATCTGGCCCACACACCAACCTTCTCTTCCTGGGGTCCCGACAGTGAGCTCACACCTTTGGCATGAGGCCAGCTGGAACTGGCTTGACTTGTCTGTGCCCACCAAGCTGCAGCATAAGGTTTTCATTAGACAGCTTCTGGGGCCCAGGTGCCTCTCTGGCTGCATGTGTAATGGTGGCCTCCTTGGATTACAGAGCGAGTGTGCCTGCGTTTTCTAGACGCAGGCCCAGCTGGACAGTCCCACAGCACAGAATGGAGGCAGGCTGGAGGGTCTGGGACTACCTCCTGGGCTGCAGCCAGCTGGCCCTGGTGTTGGATTAACTTGTGTGTGTGTGTGTGTGTGTGCGTGCGCACACACAAATTCTCCTGTGTGCTGCCTGTGTTGAACTACTCACAGCTTCCATACAATCTCTAGGACTTCCTCTTTCATCCATGGCTTCAAATTTTTTTCCTGGAATTTGGACTCAATTCCATACTTCCTGTGCTCCTTGTCCTGTTTCTCTTTTGCCAGCCTTGGCAGCTAAGGTGCCTTGTACACAGCATTGGGTGAGGACCGAGCTCTGCCTTTCCTGAATGCTTTTCACAGGATCTGTTGGGTCAGGGAGCCAGCATCCCTTCTCCCCTGGGCTAGATTCCTGCATGCCGGGAATCAACGCCTCTGAATTCTTTTATAGCAGCAGGTTGGGCATGGCTGCTTGAGAGTCTCCATAAGTTTCCCTAGTCCCCTTCATTGCCTTCAGCTCTGTGTCCCAACAGCTGCTTCTGGGGCTTCTCTGGGTTATCAGCATCATTGACTGGAGATAAGGGCTCAGGACATTTGTGAGAACTTCCTGCATTTCTGGTGGTTTCAACAGCCACACCACTTTGTCATCTTTGTAAACAGTTCCCTGAATCCGCC